CTCCGCTGTAAGCAATGCACATTTCAATTAAAGAACAGAAGATAATATTAGAAAATGAACAATATGCATAGTATCAATGCAATGGGACTTGCTGTTTTCAACAAGAATTCAAAAATATAATTTTTAACCATAAATGATTGTGGTTTTTAACAAGAAAAAAAATATCACTTTTTACCAAAAATGACAAAAATATTCATCAAAATTAGAGAATTGAAGATATCATCATGACATGAACAAATTTGAGAGTGGTCCATATGTAGTATCTATATATGTAATATCAAAGCAATTGGACTTACGGTTTTCAACAAGAAGTTGAAAATATCACTTTTTACCAAAAATGACAAAAATATTCACCAAAATTAGAGAATTGAAGATATCATTACAAAATGAACAAATCTGAGAGAGATACACATGTAGTACCTATTTATGTAATATCAAAGCAATTGGACTTGCGGTTTTTAACAAGAAGTCGAAAATATCACTTTTTACCAAAAATATTCACCAAAATTAGAGAATTGAAGATATCATCATGAAATGAACAAATCTGAGAGAGGTCTACCCAAGGTACATATTCACCAAGTTCAGGCTTGTAGTTTTCAAGAAAAAGAAGTCGAAAAAGAAAAACATTGACACGGACGACGGACACCGGACGACAATCACTCATATGATAAGCTCCGCTCGACAAAGTCGACAGCGGAGCTAAAAATAGCTCCTAGACGCTTTGACCTTTTGTTTTGAAATTTTCACAAATGATTGACAATGTGTTTATCTTCAAAACGCCGTCGGGCATTGTTTTTGATTTAACAGTGTTACAACAATCGTACAGACAACAAGCCTGGGTGTTAATTTATGCATAAACTTGAAGTAGTGAAATTTGAGCTGCTGCCTTGCAAAATTGACAACTAGTAGACAGTTTTCAAGACGACACTTTCTTCATAGTAAACAGATGTACCCATAAACCAATTTTGACAGGAAACAGAAGCATGGTTTAGAGGCTAATTTTTTTAAAATCACTTTTGACCAAAAAGGCACATTTTTGTGCACATTGCAAACTACAGTGTCCATGAAAAAAAAATACTAACAAAATTTTAAAATTCATACAATAAGCTTTCCGAAAATATATTATTTTGTGGACAAGGGAGGTCATCTTGGTTTCCTAATTAACTAATTAAAATACCTGTCAGATAAACTGCATCTCCACCTTAAAACAAAAAGACAATGACATGATGTATAATGTATATAAAATTTGAATATAATCAATCAAAGCATGTCAGAGATATGGCTCTAGAACCGCATTCATTAAAACAAAATGGCCACCAGTCAGCCATTTTGAATCCTATCTGAAAAACGAAATGACGTGCATCAAGGTCCCATAATGTCCAATTCATGTACCAAGTTTGAACGAAAACCATCTGTAAACAGTCAATATCCGGTTCCCGGGATGTCAGAAATGCTTGATTTCAATGATTTTTTAGAACAAAAATGGTCGCGATCTTGAATCAGACCATGAAATGAATTGATATGCATATGTATAATATTATGTATGATCTACGTGTAAAGTTTTAATGTAATCGATGCAGGCATGTATAAGATATGAGACATGGACACACACACACACATACGCATGCACAATCACAATAATTGAAAGAAACGTAAATTCAAAGAAAAAACAGAAAATAAATAAACAGAAACAATGAAACACAAGCAATAGGCATAATATATATGAAAGTTACCTTGGTCTGAGTATGTTTCCAATATTTTTTCATTGATTGATTTTCCTTGCTGTGCCAATGCAACAAGTGCGAGTGCTTTGTACAGACCATTTCTTGTAAGATAACCTTGTTTGCTGTCTACAACATCCCATATCTAGGAAGGAAACAAGAAGTGAAAATGAAACACGACTGTAGTCAGTTTTCATCATGGTCAAGAAATGACATATCTAGGAAGGAAACAAGAAGTGAAAATGAAACCCGACTGTAGTCAGTTTTCATCATGGTCAAGAAATGAACCCGAACGGGGACTAAAAATTACATCACATCTAAATACAGATAAATACATCCTCAAATCTTTGACAAAACACAATAAATTTAACCATAGAACAAAGAAAATGTGTTTCCTTTGGTTGAAATAAATAAATGATGAATTTCAGAGAAAGGTATTCTAATTGATTAATCATTTATTCATGCAAAGAAAACAGTTTTCAAGAAAATTTTAAGAGTTAAAATAATGGTAAGTGCTTCCATAGACAATGCTAGTGCGTTGCCAATGTGAAATCGTGTCCTCTATCAGCATATACTGTGTAGCACACCAGAAAGTTGTGCTTTTCAGACTTGTTTTCACCGTTTTCATAGTTTACTTCAATATTTTGGGTCGAACACAAATGGTCAAAAAGCTGAACACAAAACGCAATGCGTTGACGTCAGCAAGGGATTGATCTACCATAAACAATAATTCAGTACACTGTGTACCATTACATAAAAATGAGCTATAATGATTTTTACATGATTTACTTCAGTTCAATATGTGGCTGGTTTCTTGTCCTTGTAACAAATATTCACAAAATTTGTTTTCATAATTTAGACTCGTATATTTCAGAAAAATTGTATTTTGTTATCTCTCGATATTATCATATGCACAAAGTGATATTAAATTTTCAATTGCACCAAGTCTCTGACAGTTTGCATCAAATTTATCACTACTGAGCATGTCACTGCTCTTAGGTACAATGCATCATGGGAAATATCTTCCCATTGTAATAGGTCATGTCACAATGTTCCGAGACTTTGGCTGCTAGACGATTCTCCCAGACTGAATTCTTGTTTGCCAATAAATGGAAACTATTTTCAGACTGGAAACTAAGTACAAGTTAGGCCAGACTTTTATTATCCCTGGTTTCGCGAACCTGCCGAATGAACAGGAGCCGAAAATAAAATAAAAATAAAATTTTATTTCAGCGTAATTTCTCGCACCCGCTGACTTGTAAGTGCAAAAGATTGCTAAAAAAACTTGTTTTTATCTTCATTTTTTTTTCGCCCGCCGCATAACAAACCCAAAGTTGCATTTTGGTGGGAGTATCATGATTAAAGTATGGAAGTCTCGCGCAGATGAGAGACAAGGTTATACAAGGAATAAAATGTTATTTCATTTCTTCTCTCCGATCAATGATCTCACTTACAATTCTTTGAGAATCACACAAATGGAAATCACATGGAAAAAAAGAATTAATTTTATTTATTTTTCACCCTCCAAAAAAATGCCTTATAAAAACTCAAGAAACAAGGAATAAAACAAGCAGCCTATCGGCTGAGATAGCTCCGCTGTTAGAAATGCACATTTCAATTAAAGAACTGAAGACATCATCAGAAAATGAACAATATGTATAGTATCAAAGCAATCGGATTTACAGTTTTTAACAAGAAGTCGAAAATATCACTTTCTACCAAAAATGACTAAAATATTCACCAAAATTAGAGAATTGAAGATATCATCACGAAATGAACAAATCTGAAGAAAGGTC